GGCGGATCTCTGTGAGTTCGAGGCCAGCCTGGGCTACCAAGTTAGCTCCAGGAAAGGCGCAAAGCTATGCAGAGAAACCCTGTCTTGAAAAACCAAAACAAAAAAAAAAAAAAAAAAAAAAAAAAAACCAAACTCTCTTAATTATGTGTTGTAGTACAACAATACCATTTAATTCACACCACTGAAATGTACATCTGGGGTGGTTTGAATGTAATTGGCTATCATAAGCTCACAGGGAATGGCACTATTAGGAGGTGTGGGCGTGTTGAAGTACATGTGGCCTTGTTGGAGGAAGTATGTCACTATGAGGGGTGGCTTTGGGGTCTCCTATGCTCAAGCTACCCCTAGTTCAGACCACTTCCTGTTGTCTATGGGATCAAGAATTAGCTACTTCTCCATTCTCAGCTCCTCCATCACCACGTCTGCCTGCATGGGGCCATGTCTTGCCATGATGATAATGGGCTAAACCTTTGAGACTGTAAGGCACCCCATTAAATATTTTCCTTTATAAGAGTTGCTGTGGTCATGGTATCTCTTCACAGCAATAGAAACACCAGCTAAGACAACATCTAACAAATAGATTGTGTGTGCTTTGTTGTTTGTTTTGAGACAGGGTCTCTCCATGTAGCCCTGGCTATCCTGGAACTGCTAGAGATCTACCTGCTCTGCCTCCCCAGCACTGGGACTAAAGGTGTGTGCCACTAAGCCTGAAAAGCCATTTCTTATTTGCTCTTACAGCCCTCAGTCTCTGGAAAGGGCATCTAGTTCTTTGTTAATTCAAACGAGCCTCCAGCCGATCAAAGCCCCACAGAGGCAGAAAATAAACAACTCCCAAGTCTCAGGAAGTCTTTGAAACCTACCAGATAGACAAAGTACCTCCTTCCACAGTTATATAAGCAGTAAGGACTGCTGAGGAGTTCAGACCAGCCAAGCTGCCTGGAAGAGTTGGCCTGTTGATTTGCAGAGCTCTGGGATCCCAGCTTTCATGAGTCATTATCCACCCTGGGGTGGACTTTGGTGATCTGGCTGCCTGTTGTCCTTGTTTCTCTAAGTAACCCTAATAAACTCATTGATTCACCAAGTTGGACTTCAGTGGTATTGCTACCCTTGTCTGTTACTGGTTCTCTATCTGGGATGAATAGGTGTTTATGTTACATCTCACCAGGTGTCACACAACACCTACTTGCAAAAATAATTTCCCTTTCAGTATATAATTTCACAAACCTAAGGTAATAGCGATCTAGAACACATACGCACCTTCCTTGATATTTCCTGATCTTTGAGTGGGAAAGGCCTGAGGAGGAGGAATCTGTGCAATCAGTGGCTGCTGGGGTAGCTGCTGAATGATGGTGGCGGGAGGCTGGGGGACCTAAGAAAGGCCAGTTGATTAGTTATCTGAATGTACAGTCTTCACAAGTATCATCCACCCATCCATCCACACACCCAACCATCCATCCATCCATCCACCCAATCATTTATCCATCTACATATCTCATCCATCTATCTGCCCTCCTTCCTATCCTACCCATCCATCCACCCATCCCTCCATCTATCATCCTCCTGAAGAGAAATTTAAATTATTAACACTGTAAGTTAAATAAACAATTGTGAATAGAAAATTTTTTACATCTGGTTATCATTAGGACTTGGTCTTGTTTTTTTGTTGTTGTTTTTGAGACAAGGGTCTCCCTACGTAGCTCTGACTGGCATAGAACTCACTATGTCGACCAGACTGGCCTTGTGCTTGTGGTGGTCCTTCTGCCTCTGCCTCCAGAGTATAGGATGTAAGTATATACCACTGCATCCAGCGTGTACATGATATTTTTAATGTTTCTCATGTTTCCTACCTTCAGGAATGTAGTTAATGCCTGGTTAACTTTGATTTAATAGATTTATTGTGTCTTTTAACTTCTATGCATTTAGACAGGAGTGTAGTGGAATTTCATGGTGTAGGGAGTCTAGGGGTAGACCTGCTTGGTGCAAGTCCGGTGACAAATCTTCCAGGGTCTTGGCTATTGTAGCACCATTACCAACTCTGCTAATTACTACAGCTCTCACACACATGGCAGGGCATATGTGGACCTTGTTGTGCACAGATAACCTCTGGTTTCTCTTCTGAGGAAAGTAAATGTGCAGCAGCTTCAAGCAAACACCAGCGAGACTTGTTTAATCCTCCTTAAAAGTCTAGAATGAACTTGCCCCTTCTTTCTATTCATGGAGTCAGTGGCCTAGACCAGACTTGGGAGCTTTCTCCACAGAGATGTAGTGAATTGGGGGGCTCATGGGCCACGTGGGCTCAGTTGTTAAAAATGAGAACAGCCAGAGACAGATGTCAACATGCATCTTTATCAGTAACCATTTCATGAAAATCAAAATGCATCCTCCTGTGTTACAAGGTATTTCTCTTCTTTTTCTCTGCAAACATGTAAGAACATGAAACTGGCCAGGTTGTGGTGCATGGTTTTTAATCTCAGCACTTGGGAGGTAGAGATAGGAGGCAGGATCCATATAGTGAGGTAAGCCTGAGTGAGTCCTGGCCAGCCAGGGATACATAGTGAGGCCGACTCTGACTTAAAAACAAACACGATGGTCCTGACAACAGGTAGAAACATCTGGAACCTGGATACAGATAGCTCACCAGCAAAGGGGGTTCTGTGGGACCCATTCCCTCCACTAAGTGCTGCTGCCTGTTTTCCTGCCCACAGGACAGATGTCTTCCAGGTCACCAACATGTCCAGAACTTTTTCTCTTGTGCCTGTTCTCCTTATTCTTGCATTCCCTCACACTGAGTCCCAAACAAAGGTCTCACCTGGGCCTCCTAAGTCCTCTGCTTAAGGACATTCTTTCTGAGCCAGCGAGATGCTTAGCAGGTAAAGGTATTCCCCAAGAGACTTGGCAACTTGACTTTGATCCCCAGAACCCATATGATAGTGGAAAGAGAGAACCTAGTCCTATTGTTCTCTGACTTCCACATATGCACTGTGGTGCATGTGTCCCAAATATGCATTCCATGCACACACACATACACATACACACACACACACACACACACACACACACACACACACTAACAGTACATACAATTTAAAAAGTATATATCATTTGCCCAAGACGTCAGTTGATTTCTGTTGCTTGTGACTCAGAGTGCTGTGTGTAGGCCACACCACATAAAGCTCTCGGAATGGTATACCCCGCTGTTTGTAACTCTGTCCTTCAGCCAAGGGCTTAAGCATCCCTGGTCACTGTAATAAAGGGTTGTGCTTCTCGGAATTCAGGGCCCACTGGTGCTAAACTCCCCTAATCCTTCCAATGAAGCTGTTGGGTGGGTCTAGCAGGAGGTGAGTCTGTCCTGAGAGGTGGCCATCCCTAAGCCAGTCCTCCATGTCTTTCCCCAGATGACCCATGGTGCCATGGGCAGCAAATGAAGCTGCTGTCGGCTCTCAACAGATGGAACCTTTCCAGAGCACTGGCATCCTGCGGGGGACCTCCTGGAAAAGAAATGAGAGTGTCTGTCCTTGGCCTCCCTTCCTGGAAGTAGGAGGAAAGAGAGAGACACCTCTGGCCTCCCTGATTGGATGGCCCGCTGGCAATATGGCGCACTTCTGCATGGCAATGAAGTCTCACTTCTGACCCTCCTACCCCCACTAGAAGCTGCTGTTACCCAAGAGCCCTACCGGGGCCTGGATGATCCTTGGTGGCTCTGGTGGCCGGGGCAAAGGTGGGGAGGCAGCAGGGAAGGCATTCACGGGAGGCACCTCTGGGTTCAGGGTTGGCACCATGGTTCTCTCCTGTGTCCTTCTCCAGGCATGGGCCGGGGAGTGCTCATTCATCAGCTGCTGTTCCTGAAAGGTTGACAGCCTGTTGGTTATAAAGCCATCAGCAGAGGACCCTGATTCAACCTATGGACCTCATTGGGTGAGCAGGCTCTCACCAGCACAGTTTCCCCATGCCTCACCCCTGCCGGGGGCTATGGCACCCAAATGTTCAGGGCGGAGTCCCTGGAACTAGGGATCTCTTTGTCCCTCTTCCCAATGTGACCATGTCGAATAAATCATTTTTCCTGCTCTCAGCTGTTAATTTAACTTCTAATTGGCTTATTGAGAATGGGGGGGCAAACTGGACTTGGGACAAAGGTTATGACCCCCAGTTCAATAATACTCCTTAGGAAACACTTGGAAATTCTGTTTCTCTTAACATGTACCAAATACTTGTAATGAGTTTTTGGTTGTCTTTGTTTCCCAGCCAACGATAAAATGGTTTTTCATGCATGTTGGCATCAACCCCACTGTAAAAAGAGCAAACTTCTTGTCCCAGGGGACTGTGGGGATGACACCCATACAGATGCTTCTACACAGGGCCACTTCTTGCTGCTGGCCAGTTTAGTTTATGTGAGCTCCGCGTCCTGTGGGAATGGGCCTTGACTCATTGCCTGTTCTGTGACAGTGACCTAAGCAGTTTCTAAGCTCACATACTGCCTATACCCGACATTTTACCTTCTCTAATTTCCTCAGCGAAGTGATGGGTTGGGAGTATTAGTCTCTTAAATGCTCACAGTTCAGTTACCAGCCCCCAATTCGCAAGCATTAGCTAATTGACCCCAGGAGTACAGACAAGCATTTGTTGGAGTCTCCTAGCCAGTGTATTAAGCCCTTGGAGAGTTAGGCCCAGAGTTAGGCAGGTGGACAGTCCTACCCAGAGTTTCTGCAGAAGGTCTCTCCTTCTCCTCAAAGCACTCTGCAGGGCAGTGTCTGGCTTTTCCTGCTGTCCTGGATGGAGAAGGCACACATCACTGAGGAATATATCCTGGCTGGTAGCTCTGGCGGACTGCCCCAACTTCCCTGCACCCTGGGATTCAGAGTAGTCTGGAGCCTGCTGAGCTCATGTCTGTCAAAAACATCCATTCCAAAGAAGGAGGGACCAGGGCTGGGGCAGGGAGAGAGGGGGCTATGGCAGAGAGGGGAGGACTTGGTTAGAATCAGCCCAGTGCACTTTCTTGGTCCTGAAAGGCACTGAAAGTCAGTAGAACAGATTTCTCTTAGTGCTCCAGCATTCTGTACTGCAGGAGGCCTCCACAGGGCCTCCACAGGCCCAGTCATGCCTCCATAGTCCTGGCCTCAAGCTGTCTGGAAAAGACAGGCATGCTCACCAACTGGAGGGAGAAGGTCTTACTCCAGAGAAAGCTCTGGAAAGAGCGTGCTTGCCTTGGCATCCTATTGGAGCTGGGATTTTGATGATGCCTAGACAGTCTTCTCTGGAAGCTTTACCTGGGACACCCTTTGGCACACTTGTGGTCATTGGGTTGTGTAGAGGTGCCCTGGATCATGTGACCTGGTTTGCCAATTTCCATCTAGATTTGAGGCTCCCAGGTCTGGCCAGCTGCAGTCAGTGTTCCCAGAGTTACCGACAGTATGAATACTCCATGTTTTAAAGAATAAGACATGTTCCTCTGGCCTTGGATCCTTATTCAGATGTCCATAAACCCATCTTCTGGCCCCAGGTACTGAGAAGGAGAAGACTGAGCTCCTGCCCATCCCTGGAGTCAGAGCAATATGAATCTGAATTGATTGGGACAATTTTTGCACCAAGCAATCTGTCACATGACCTCTCTGTGCCTATATTTTCTCATTTACGAGATGTATTCCCTTTCCCCCTAAGAGTCTTCTGGCTAAGGGTACAGCATGTGTGCATGCATGTATGCATGCCAGTGTGTGTGTGTGTGTGTGTGTGTGTGTGTGTGTGTGTGTGTGTGTGTGTGTTGGTTTACAGGTGAAAACAAAAGCCAAGGCTTGCTCTGTGCTCCACCTGCCACACCTCTGATCTATTCTCCTTCCTACTTGTATGTGCCCAAGCATCTTAAAGCTCTTACCTGCTCTGTCCATGCTTTCACGTTCCTGTTCCAGCATCTGTGAGGAGGAAACTGTGATGGTGACTTGGCTCCAGTTGGGGAGTGGAGTCTGTGCTGCCCACCTGCCTGTGTAGCTGACATTCCAAAAGCTGTAGGAGTGGTCAGCACCCCAAAGGAAGTATGGAGGGCAAGAGGCACTTTCCAGGTGAGTAGATGGGGCAAGGGTCACCATTCTATTAAGGATTATTCTGGTCATGTTCTCAAACATAATGCATGCCATCCATCTTAAACCCAAAGTGGTTTAAGGGGCCCCAAGGTGATGATCTGTTGAGACACAGTAGGACATCTTAATGTGCACTGATGGGCACCCAAGGGTTTCCCTGCTGGAACCCAAATGAGACATCCTGATGGGCTCCAAGAAGGATGCTCCGGACAGATTTCTGAGTAGCAACCCTTGCACAGACAACCCTCAGTTGGTATCCAGGGCCAGCGGGGCCCTGAACTAAGGTTTCCAGGGTTGGTAATAGGTAGGAAGTAGAAGAGGAACAATGCAGACAGAGCATGCCAAGAAGTTGACCATGGCCAGCATGGGTCCCCATGGGACCTGTGCTTCATTGCTTACCAGGGCAGGCATGTTGCTCATTGATCACTCAGAATTTCATAGATGGTCAAAAAGGTGGAGAAGACTAGGCATGACTGGGTTTTTCCCTGGGGATATTGGGCTCTATCTCCACAGTGAGGAGTATTTCTTTAAACACGAGCCTGGAGGTACAGGAACTTTATAGGGATATGCCCCAGAAGTACGCTTGCTGGAGGGACAGCCTGCCTCCTGACTTTGAGGCAGGAGATGAGAGCGAGCAACAGGGCTTGACAACAGCAGTGGGTAGGCTCTGTCTTACCTGTTCCAGGACTTGCAATGTCAGCCGGGTCATCTGATCTGCCACGGAGGAGTCTAGCATCCTAACAACTGTATAAGAGGCCACCGAGAAGTGCGAGGTTGAAGTCCCACTCTGCCTTGGCCCTTGGTTACATGCAGCAAAGAGCCCCCTCAGGGGTCATGGTGCCTCAAGACAAGAGAAGAGTAAGTAAGAGATTGACTGTCCCTCCCTGGACTCCAGTGCCAGAGCCCGCCCTGGAGTCTGTGACAGTTGCCACTCTGTGGAAGGGAGGTCTTGGGTTGGTTGCCAGGATGCCTCTGAGAGTCCTTCCTGGGCTTTGTGTCCAGTAAATGGGTTGCCTGTAAACACTGATCCACAGGCGTGGCCAGGCACATATCAGTGGGGAGGTAAAAGGCCAGAGGGACATACTTCAGATTCCTCCAGCACCACTTACCCAGGGAAGTAGTGCCAAAGAATGAGTGAAGGACTCCCCATCTCCCCGAGATTCACACCCACTGTTGTTACAGTCAACCCCCATTGCTCTAATCTCCTGCCGCTGCAAACTGGCAGAAGTTCCTGCTTCCAGAGCAAGCTTTCCCCCTACCCCCCCCCTCCCCACTCTGGCTTCACAAGGAGGAGCTATGACTTCTTGTTTGTTTTTTTCTGCAGTGTAGAACCAACTATGTTCTAGCCGTTTCCAAAGTTGGGAGGCAGGCTGTACCTACCAGCAAGTGTACTTCTGATGCACAGCCCCATAAGGCTGCCTCTGTGACACTTTGTCCTTACTTGGAACCTTCAAAGAAAAAAGACAGTGTGGCTGGACACCTGGAGGACCATGAGGAAGGAGTGTCCTGGGGGTTTTAGGACATTTTCTTGTAGCAGAGACTTTGGCCAGAGAATTGTACCTCCTAAGGGGGGCACCTGGCCAGAGGGTACAGACAAGAGTAAAGAAAAGGAGGTCACATATGGGGGTGGAGGCTCTAAACCAAATGGGATGTAAGTCAGTGCCTCCTCTTGAGGGAGGAGATGAAGCTAGACCATAGCCCGGTCTAACTAAGCCCTGTGAACCTAAGAGACAGTCAGGGTAGGGTCAGCATCCCCGGAACCCAGCTAACTCTGGAAACTGCATCCGATGGAAGGAGAGTTAGAGGGGCAGACATAGACAAGGAAAGCAAAAGCAGGCTCCCTGAGAGGGTGGCTTCTTTTCTCAGAAGACATTGCTAGGAGAAACAGCGAGGCATGGGAGCGGGTATCATCAACAGGACCGATAAGGGAAAGCAGGGCTATCCTCAGGTGGGACATCTGTGATGTTTTCCCTCTGTTTGACTTGACTTGTGGCTCTCTGGGAGTTAGCGCCTTTCTTATGACATTGTACTGAAGTCATAACCTATCAACACAACTTACCCCTGCCGTGCTGATCCTAGAAGCAGCTAACCTGTTTCTCTTGTAAAATGCCCACCCTCTTTCTGTGCTGGCCTCTCTGGTAGGAAGTTGCTAGGCACCGTAAATGTTTACAGGGTAGGGAGCCATGTCCAGTGCCTGTGAGAGCATCCGTGTAACTCACTTCAATAGCTTTTAATACTAAAAATAAATTGAAATAAGATCCAAGTGCTATGCTTGCAGAGCGGCTTTCGTTTATAACGGCTTTCTGCAGCCGTTGGCTCAGGTGAACCGGGCACATGCTCCCCCACTGCCAGCAGTAAATGGATAAAAATAACATTAAAACTCGGGATTCTGGTGTGACTCGGGGCTTCGGTGGTTCTTGGGAAATCTGATCTTGCGGTCTTTCTGGCCCCTTCTTCTAACGAGCCTACCCTCTCATTGCACACAACTGCCAATTCTGAATCTGGGAATCGAGAGGATTCCACTCGCCAAAGAGGACTGCGATTCGGCCCCGAGAGGATTCGGCCCCTAGAGGAGGACTTCTTTGTGGCTTCTTTTCCAAAACCTGCTCAAGTTTTGTTGACACTGTGGTCACTTAGGTGCGTGGTTTCTGCTGAGGCCGCCTGACAAGGCTGTTGGTGGAGTGTTATTCCTGTGCGTTAAGGGCAGGAATCGTTTCTGCTTTTGTCTGAGAGGAGGGGGCAAACCCAGTCATGCAGACCTGCACAACAAAACGTGTTCAGCCGGAGGTGTGGGTAAACTGAGCACAAAGTTCCCCAAGCCCACTGATCTACTGTCAAGAAGGCATTCAATGCATTAAGATAGTGGGGGTTATCTGAAGAAATAAGAGAGGAAAAAGCTCAGGACTGCCCTCCTCTGCCCCCATCTTTCTTTTGAGGTCATGTAACTACAGACATAGGGGGGTGTGATATCCTGCTCGCTTTACCAGCCAGGGCTGCAGCATGGTTGCGTTTTGTGGATGTTCACCGTTTTCCTTACCGAGAAACCATCAGAAGGTACCGAAACAGCTTAAAAAAGGTTAGGTGCCCAGACTCCATCCCTCCTGCCCTAGGAACTACACTTGCCCATAAACAAATGGCTTCCCATTCCTCTTCATAAAGTGTTTGGCAACACCAAAAGGACCCTCCTTCCCTGCTGAGAAAGGGTCCTGATATGTAAAAACAGTCTGGAGGTATGGCTTCATGTGACTGATGTTTACAGTATCAAAGGTTACTGGTAAAGACCCCCTCAGCTGCACCAGGTGTGATGTGATTATAGACTTTTGACTTTAAAAACCATACCCTCAGCCCGGCAGCAACAGCACATGCCTTTAAT